ATCTGGTGGATTTGAATGATGCACCTTTGGGATTGCAGCACAGCTTCTTGCCACTAGGCCACCAGAGCTTCCTTTATATAGTTGTTGTTGTTGTTGTTGTTATATACCATCAAGTCAGAATGACTCAGAGCTGTCCTGCAATCCCAAAGGCATGTGGTTCGAACCCACCAATCCACCAGCTGCTCTATGGGAGAACAATGGGCAGTCTCCTCCTTTGTACTTTACTGCCTCTGAAAACCTGCTGGATGATCGATTAGGGATTGGTTCCAAATAGATGGCACAAAATAACAACAAATACACACACACACACACACACACACACACACACACACACACGAGCTCTGATGACCTAGTGGTATGAAGCAGCACTCCAATCCCAAAGGTTCACCATTCAAATCCTTCAGCTGCTCTGCAGGAGAAGGATGCACAATCTCTAATCTCTTCCTGTGTGATTTACTGTCTCTGAAAACCTGCTAACGGCTCAGCTGTGGGTTGGTTCCAACTTGAGGGTACACAACAACAACAACAACATGCACATACTTAGATATGCCTATATACTTTAAGAACAGTTCCTATTGAATCAATTCTACATCATGGCAATTCTTCAAATGTCAAAGGAGAATTGTGTCACATAAATTGTTAGCACTTTTTTTAACAGCATAGAATTTATTGACTTTTTACAAATTTATTTAAAGTAGATTGTCAGAATTCTTTCCCCAAGATGTCTCTACCTGGACTTGAATCTCCAGTCTTTCATTCAGCAACCAAGAATGCAAATGATTTTAATCACTCAGAGGTCTAATAAATATACTTCTTGTTGTTACTTAAATTTATTCATCTATATACTATATACGCGCACACACGTACACAAACGCAGAGAGACTCTTGTAGGTTAACTCTTTGTAGAAAATTTGGTGACAAATGAAACTATCATAGATTAAAAGCCAATGCGGCATTTAAAAAATTAAACAAATAATATTTTTAGAGTGTCTAATGACTTAGTGGTAAGGAGGTACTCTGTCAATCCAAAAGGATATGGTTTAAATCAAACAGCTGCTCCACTAGAGAAAGATGAACAATCTCCTCCTGTACAATTTACTGTCTCTGAAAACCTGCTGGAGGCTGAGCTGTGGATTACATTGGTAATCCACAGTGGTACACAGCAACAACAACATTTGACTGGAAAAAAAGATAAGCAATTAATACTATGCCATTTTCAGTCAACGTGATTAGACCTTGTAGGCAAGAGACTTACTGGGTCTAATACAGGGATCTCCTCCATAAGAAGAAATCTGTCCTATCAAAACCAATCACAGAGCAAATTAAAGCCAACATCTAACTGCCCTCCCGATGTCATTGGATTCCACAGTCTTGTCATCGTAGTCCACATTCTTTGTTGCTAGGTACCCTGGGAATTCTTAGTTTCCAGAGCTTCAGGTGCTATTTTCCTCGAGAATCAAATATCAAGTCCGGTTTATGTGCTGTGATAGCCAGACTGAGAGTTTGAGGGAAGCGTCACTGCTCTGGGCCTCCAGGTCCTGCTCACAGTGCTAACGTACTTCACCTGCAGGAGAGCCCCGCAGCCCGCAAGCCACCCTCCAGCAGCCACTCAGGATGCAGCAAACTGTGTTAGGTAAGGAAGCAGGTTTCTAGTTAAATCTAAATGCCACAGTCCTCTGAGTTGGGGACAGAGGTCAGGGGTCTGAGAAAGTGTCTTCAAGGGTCAGAGAATTAAACACTTTCTGCCTGGTTGCACAAAACAACACAATGTGGTAACTGTGAACGTGTCTTCAGCTTAATGGCTGTTCCTTTCTTTATGTTGCATGTTGGTCATCTGGAAATTGAAAACTTTGTTTTAAACCTTGATTTAGGAAATAATGGCATTTGTGATTTACCGGTCCCTTATCATGTGAATTATAAAATATGTGATTATATATTTGATACAAATGCATAAATCATTCATTTGTTTTTCATTAAGTGTACTGATTTATACTCAGGAATGAAATATGTAAAGCTGTTGAATTTGGTTACCTTGGTAACATCTGGAGTGAACTACTCAGTCTAAAAATAATTTCGCCTTTATTGTTTATATTCTATGTTGAAATTATAAACACATGGTTTTTATTAAAGATTATTCTGATAAGTGTTAATGTTTATATTACTTGAAGCAATTATAAATGGTAGACTATTTACTAGATATGAATCATAATTTAAGATTAAAAAAACAGAAATTACAGAAATTGGGTTTGTAGCAAACTAATGTAGATTTAGTATTTAAATGTAGTGTATTTGAAGATTATTTGCATATTAACATACTGATAAGAGATTTATTTATGAAATGTTAGAGAAGTTCTTTTCTTAAAGGATTCTGTTATACTAATGTTTAGTCTCTCTCTTTCCCTCTGTGTGTGTGTGAATTAAATAATTGAACTTACATGGGTTTGTTATCTTTGTCTTTGAATTCATGAAAATCATTTAAATAATCAGAAATGATCTCTCATACTTTAAAATTAAGTGGGAATGACATGAAAAATATGTCTAATTTTCCAAATTATTTATATACAAATTATTGCCCTATTTATGTCTTTCAAGAAATCCTAGATATTAATTGTTAAAGGGATGCTTTTGATTTGTCAAAATAATGATGTGGAATATGCAACAACATACAGATTATATGCAACCAGTTTTCTATAATGTCTTTGCATGCCTTCTATCCACATGGAGGCTTTTCCTGAATTGGGACATAAAAAAGAATGCTTTACTAGAGGAAATTTGCCTTATAAATAGATCTTAATGTATTTAAGATGAATAACTTAGAAAATTGTTTTAAAAATTTTTTACAGAAAATGAAACATAGTGTGCATTGCTTCAATATTTCACTTGAGAGACCTAGAATTTATATTGGATCTTGGCCTATTCCTTATGCTCCCTTTTCATTTGACCAAGGGAAAGGAATGCCGAGGTAAAAGAGATCAGCAGAAGATTCCAAAGAACAGTATGAGAGGACAAAGCAAAGTATTACAACTAAATGTGCCAAGAGATGGAGTTAGAAAAGAAAAAGAACTCCCTTAGCATTTCTTAAACTGAAGGAACTGAAAAACAAATTGAGACCTCAGATTGCAATGTTGAAGGATGCTATGGGGAAAAATTTTGAATGATCCAGGAAGCGTTAGAAGAAGATGGAGAGAATGCACAGGGTCCCTATATTAAAACAAAAATTGACTGACATAAAATCATTGCATGAAGTAGAATATGATAAAAAGCCAGTGGTAATGAAGGAGGAAGTTCAAGCTGAACGGAAAGCATTAGCAAAAATTAAGACCAAGGAGTTGTTGAGAAACCAACTGACATGTTCCAGCAAACACATGCAGCCCTGGACATGCCTACTACTCTGTGCCAGAAAATTTGGAATATGGTTACTCAGCCATCTGACTGGAAGAGATCCTTATTTGTTCCCATTCCTAAGAAAAGTAACCCAACAGAATGTGGGAATTATTAAACAAATACCATAAATATAATATGCAAGTAAAATCTTGCTGAAGATTATTCAAAATAACAGATAGAACTGAATATTACTAGAAAACGGCCAAAAATGCACGCTAGACTTCAGACAAATGCTGTATCTGAACAAATATTTTGAGAAGCCTGAGTTTATGAAGAAGCATGTGACATTAGGATAGAAAGAAGAGTCATCAACAACTTGTGTTGTGCAGATGACACAACACTAGCTTCACAAGCATCTGAAAACTGTACAATTCATAAAGAAGACTGAAAAAAGAATTTATACCTTTAAGTTATTGTATTGGTGAAGAGTATTAGATAGGCTGTAAACTGTTATTAGAAGAACGCACATATCTGTCATGGAGGAAGCGAAACCAAATGTTCTTTACTCCTTAACTTCTTATAGTAGTCTCTTGCATTATAATTATAATTTTATTTTGTGCAAAATGTATCTACATTTTTTCCTAGTACTCTCACCAAATCTGGATTTTTAAAAGCTTTCCATTCAGTCTTTATACACAGTTGGTTCTATAGCATTGATTATAATTGAATTGTAACAATACTTTTCCCATTTCTTATCCACCTTGATTCTGGTTTCTGTTCAGCCTTTTCTTCTCCTTTTGGATTTTTAAACTTTATCTCTGCACAGCTGCTGCCCTTTGATCTTGCATGGTTGATTGTTCTAAGGACTAAGTACTTCTCAAATGTTACTGTTTGCCTTCTATGTCTGTGCCTTCCCTGTCTAAAAGTTGAACCAAAAGGATGAGTTCAGGGACTTCTCTAAAGACTTGCAGTTCAAATCTACCAGCCACTAATTGGGGAAAAATGGGGCAGTCTAGTCTCTTAAGGATTTGTAACTTTGGAAACCAGGCAGAAGGTTACTATTAGTCAGAATCAACTTCACATTTTTTGTTACTATTTACCTTCACGCAGAACTGACCAGTAGCTCATCCTCCAGAGGGTTTTCAGAAGCAGTTCATTGCACAGGAGGAGAATGCCCATCTTTCTCCTGTGGAGCAACTGGTAGATTCAAGCTGCGTGTCTATGGGGCACTAGGCCACCAGAGCTCCCTTGATGGCAATGGGAATATATCAGTCTATTGTGGGCTGAAACTTGAACCAGAGTTCAGTTCAAGGCTCAAGTTAAATCTGGACATTCTTAATAAAAAATTTTAAAAGAATATTTGCAAATTAGCTGGTAATTTTATTTTCCTCTTTGTTATTGAAGTCTTTTTTTTTTTTCTTTGGAATTGCATTTTTTTATTGAACAATGTCTCCTATTTACCTTCTTATTCTGTTTTGCTGCTGCTTCTTGGCCAAAAAAATTAGAACAATAACTGCCTCTCAACTGTATTCTACATGTTAAATCACATATTACATTTAAGAGTAATAATGTCAAACCCGTAACACTAACTCAAGAAATGCTCTCCAAGTTGCTACTGGACAGCATGATAATTAAAATTTTTAAAATGCACTTTTTTTTTACCCCCTTTCCAACAGATGATTCTGCTGCGGAGAGCTTTAATGGCAATGAGACTGCGGGGCACGGGTCTGTTGCTTCCGGGGGAGCACACGGCAGGGAGATGGGAGACTCCAACAGTGAAAGCAAAACTGTGCTGGAGCAGGATGAGCAGCCACTGAACCTGAGCGACAGCCCGCTCTCGGCGCAGCTGACGTCGGTGTACAGAATAGACGATCCCAGCAATGACGGCAAAAACAAGTACAAGAACCTGCTAGTTTCGGATCTCAAGATGGAACGAGAGGCGAGAGAAAACGGCAGCAAGGTGAGGTCATGTCGCCTCGCAATTTCCAAAGTGGTTGTGAGTTGGGCATGAAGGTCGTTAAGAAAGTTTGAGATAGAAGCTATCATCTCAAGGGCTGGATAGTGGGACATAGGTGTTGAAGGGAGTAGGTGGGAGTAAAAGGGAATGCGTGGAGCAGAGAAATGGGTGGCTCTAGACACGTGTCAAGGGCAGGGACAACACTTAACTATTGGTTTTTTCTACAATTGGGGAAATATCTTTCATTTGCTCTTTTCTGTAAAATGCTTATGTCAGGTACTGTTCTAAATCTAAGCATTCACATTAAGACAGACTAAGAAGAAGGATTGGCCATTCACTTCCAAAATAGCAGGCTTTTGAAAACCCTAAATATAATAGAAGACACTTAGACTAGCAGATAGGGCAACTGAGGTGGAGCTTTTCAAGTATGGAAACAAAAATGAGGAGAGGCAGTTGTAAAGAGACACTAGTTATTGGAACATGGAATGTGAATTTATATAGGAGATGAAGATTATTATCAAGGAACATTGGTTAAAGAAATCCCCAGAATACATTAACTAGACGTATAACCATGGCTCCTGTTTTTCTGTATCTTGTGACAGGATAAATCTGGGCTAACAGTGTGCAAACAGAGCAATGCCTTGGACAGACTGGAATAGTTTTATACTAAAAATCACTGAAATTATGTTTCTCACTAATATAGTCTCTTTTTTTTCTATAATTATATTTTATTAATTTTCATAAACATTTACAGAGATTTTGGGCTTCCACTCATTCATTGTTGCACTATTCTCTCTACCCTCCTCCCAGTTTGTTCTTGTCCAAATGCCACAGTGCTTGTCAAAGCCAGTTCTGATTAATCTTCTTTGTCAGTGTGTCCTTTGCCATTCCCTATCACTCCTCCCTGAGAGAGACTTCACCCTGAGTCATAAGGAAAAGGGGATGGCGTATTCTCTTAGCTACTTCCTGCTGAAAAGGGACGCTGTGGGTTTCAGGGTGAAGATCTTCTCTCACTACTCTAAAGGGCCCCTTTGGCAGTAGGAAACACATAGACTATTATGGAGATTGATTTTGGGATTTAGATGCACTCTTACTGATTGTGCTTGGCCGTACATGTTCATATCCTTGAAGATGTATCATGGGGGTGTTGCAACCTAGAAGGCACAAATTTGACTAACAAGTTATAAGTACATGAGTCCAAAAATTATGGAAAAGTAAAAGAAAAGATTCTTTCATTGTTTTACAAACCATCCCCCAGGTCCCCTCCACCATGTAGCCCTCGCTCTAGTCTCCTGTGATGACAGAAATACCCAGTTATATCTCTCTTTTAAACAGTTCTCTCCCTCCTCTGTTTCAGTGCAGTATACATTATTGAACCCATCTTACTCAGTCTCTCCCCAACCCCAAGGACAGTCCCATTCTACAACAGTGGCATCATGTAATATTTGTCCTTTTGTGACTGGGATATTTCACTCAGCATAATGTTCTCCAGAGTCAACCATTTTGAATAATATTGCATGAGTTCCTTGCTTTTTAATGCAGCATAGTATTCCATTGTGTGAATATACCACAGCTTCTCTAGCCATTCGTTTGTTGATGGGCACTTAGGTTGTTTCCAACTCCTTGCTATTGTGAACAAAGCTGCAATAAACATGGGTGTGCATATACCTGCTTGGATGTCAGCTATGGTCTCTTCAGGGTATATTCTCAGTAGTGGAATTGCTGGGTCAAATGGTATCTCTATTTGCAACTTTTTGAGAAAGCGCCATACTGCTTTCCACAGGGGTTGCACCATTTTACACTCCCACCAACAGTGAATCAGGGTTCCAGTTTCTCCACAACCTCACCAGCATTTGTTGCTTGCTGTTCTGTTAAATTTTGCTATTTTGACTGGGGTGAAATGATATCTCATAGTTGTTTTAATTTGCATCTCTCTTAGGGCTAGGGATTTTGAGCATTTCTTCATGTGTTTGTTAGCCATCTGAATGTCATCTTCGGTGAAGTGCCTGTTCATATCCTGGGCCCATTTTTCTATTGGATTATTTACCTTTATCTTGTTGTGGTGCTCAAGTATTTCATAAATTCTGGATATAAGTCCCTTATCTGATATGTTATTACCGAATACTTTTTCCCAGTCAGTGGCTTCCCTTTTTACCCTACTGGAGAAGTTTTTGGATGTGCATAGGGATTTGAGTCTTAGAAGATCCCATTCATCTATGTTATCTTCTCTTGGAGTCTCTCTTTAAAAGAGGAGTATCTGATTTCTCCTTGATTGAACAAATGTGTAGCAATAATATTTCAATGAAATTATCCAGTTTAGAGATCTGGGGGTTATTGTCAATAATTTGCTCTGTATATTAGAGAATTGTTAATATCCATTTTCTTGATAAAACTGGTAGGTTAAAGAACTACTTGAAGGAGTAATTTATGGTTAACAGTATTATTTAAAAGACCTCTGGTGCCTGAGTGTCTGATGTGTCACACTGCTAAAGAACAGGTCGAGGGTTCCAGTCCATCCGCTGGTGCACTGGAGGAAGTTAAATGGTATCAAACAGTGAAATTCACAGCCTTGGAAACAGATGTTGCTGTGTTGTTTTGCGCCTTCAAGTTACAGCTGTCTGAGCTGACCCTCTATTTTAGTGTTGTTGTTGTCTTTGCTGAGTGTCCTGTAGAGTCAGAACTGACTCATAGCTGACCCTGCAGCAGGTTTTCAAAAGCACTTAATTGCATGGGACGAGATTGTCCCACTCTCCCTCATGGAACAGCTGGCAAATTTGAAACGTGTGTCTTTGGGTTGACACATGCAGTTCCTTACCATTAGGCCACCAGAGCTCCATAGTGGGTTTTCGAGGCTGTGAATTTCATGGGAGGACATTGTCCAGGAGGCCAATATCAGGCCTTCAGATTGGCCTCACAGTTCCTTACCATGAGGCCTTGGGAGCTCCCTTGGAAACATGATGGAGAGTCACAATTAACTGGATGAGTTGGGGAAATAGAAAACAGGTAAACATACTTCTGACAAAGCTCTAAATTTCTAGAGTACTTATATAACGAAAATCTTCTCTGGCCTAGTGTCAAGAAGCTACACTGCAATCTCGAAGGCATGTAGTTCAAATCCACCAGCTTCACAGGAGAAAGATGGGCAGTGTCTTCCCAAGAGATTAACTGCCTCTGAAAACCCACTGGAGGGTCAGCTAGGGGTCGGTTCTGACTCATTGGTACACAACAACAGTCTCCTCACTCAAACTGATTTACTAAAAACATAGTTTACACTTCTGTGGCTTTGAGAGTATGCTGATGATTTAGCCCTGTAATATTTGAAGGTCTGTTTTTGAGAACATGAAGGTGTTTAAGGAACAAACGCTTGACTTCCTTTCCCAACTCTCACCTATAAAGTAAGAGGCAGGGGAGGTAGGAGCTGGTTTTTTGACATGAATCCTAAAAGCTGAATGTCTTAATCTGGATTAATTTCTCAATTTGCTGAGGCACTCTGCTTCCTAAATTGGCTCTATTTAAATCTTCTCCCTTGCTTGAGGGTGTTTTGTTTTATCCTGGTTCAAGCACAACATTATCAGACACTTAAGCACTTCTGCCTAAGGCAGGCTGCTACAACTTAGTGTGCAGTAAATGCACAGATAACCTCTTCAATGACTTAAAGGCATTCCACACAAATACAAATGATATTATAATCTCTAAGGTGGTCTGATTTGCATTTTATAGTTTATAGAATACAATGCTTAACTCTTTAGATTCTCTGCCTGCCACATAACCCTGTCTTTATAAAATTGAAAACAATCAGGAAAGTTCTTCTTATTCTATGTGTTTACTGGATTTTTAAAAAAAATCTTATTCAAGAATGCACCCACCTTTTGTTCATTTCCTTTTTAAACCATTGCTTAAATAGTCTAGCCATAGTCAGTCTTCTCTTTTTATTCTCCAATTCCAGCTCTCTGCACATAATACTTTGCTTTCTCAACCTGCCCTTTGAAATCTTCTGTTCAAACTCTTTTACTTTGGTGTGTTTTCTGTTTGTTTTTGGCTTCTGAACACTCTAGTGCAATTTTCAGAGCCTTTTCTGACATCTGTTTCGGTATTTTCTTTCTCCTCTGTCTTTGTGATGACCTTTTGCTCTCTTCATGGATGATATCCTTGATATCATCCCACAATTCATCTGATCACTTGATGCTTGGTGTTAGAAGATTTAAACTATTAAACTACTTAACTGTTTAAACTGTTCTTAAAATGATTTTTGAAATTCAGATGGGATAGATTCAAGACCATCTTTTAGATTTGTTTTAATTTTATTAGACTTTAATTTGGTTACTTGGGGGGAAACTGGATTTGGGGCACAACACAGTGAATGAATGAAAATCCAACTTTTCTGTTAACTTTCATTAAAATCACACACAAAAAAATCTCTCTTG